GGCTGGAGTCGTGAAGAAATTTGGTGCTCGTTCTTTTGTAGATTCATGGATTGTTATGGGCAGAAGGGTCCATTATGTTATCCAGCCTGTCCCCAGTACAACACAAGCCAGAGAACTCCCCACAGTCATTCCTGCATCAAGCTCAGCTGGATGTGGTTGAACTAGGCCTTGTTTATAAAGACATCCATTCTCTTGCCTTCTAATTCACCACTATAGAGACGATAAAGGGACAGTGCCAAAGACTAAACTACACATATCAGAGCTCAAGACTCCTGTTCTATTCAGTTTATATTGTGGGAAGAAGTCCTCCTAGGGAGCATTCCTGTTAAAAGGATTTCAGCAACATAAAGTATGCCCTGGAGAAGAAGGAGGAACATTCCTGATGAGGAACATTAGCAGTCTCTCCTCAGACAGGTCTGTAGTGCTGTATGAGATTGTGATGAGATTACACCTTGCAAACATCATCTTCAACTCCTGGCTCCGCATTTCCTCCATCATGGGCAGTGTGATCTTGTCACACTCACCTGGGAGATCAGCATGCTGGGGATATTATTGCTGATAGAGACATCTGCATGCCCCCAAAGCAGCTGGGTAATATTAATGGTCTGATTTTCAAAAGTAATGAACATCTGCAACTGCCTTTAAAGTCACTAGGAGCTATGGATGATCAGCATTCTGAGACACTGAAATGATGGATTTAGAGCTGAATGGGAAATGGTTTGGGATTTTTTCTCCCTGAGGAAGATTTAGATGAAAACAAAACATGTTTGTCAAAATTTTCAGTGGAAAATTTCAATTTTTCATCAAACTGAAAATCTCCAAAATGAACCTATTCAGCCAAAAATTGATGGAAACTGAAAATGTTTTGGTTTTCTGATGAGAAATTAAATTCTTTTGTGGCGAGCAGACAGGAGGGAATGAAAAAACTCCAGTGGGGGGAAAAGAAAGGTGGAAAAACAGCTAGGCATGGGTTGAATGAGAAATGAATACAGAGAAGATGGGGACTAGGAAGGGAGAGAATCTAGTGAAAAGAAGTTTCCCAAGTTGTGCCTGACAACAGACCTCAGGCCGATAGTAATCAGGGACACTTGACTGTAGAGCTGGGTGGAAAATGTTGTTTTTTTTCCTCCAGAAAATTCTGACAAAAATTATTAAAAAATATTTGTTCTCAAAGATTTTAGCAGAAAATGTTGACTTTTTCTCAGAAAACCAAAACCCTGAAAATTTGGTTTTCAGCCAGTTCCTCCTTCTCCTCCCCCCCGAGTTTTGGCTGAAAACAAACAAAAAAAGTCCTCAGACAAAATCTTTTTGACTTTTGGCCAAAAACTTTCAATTTTTTGATTAAAAATAATTAATAATTTCTAGGACAGCAGACACTTCCCACGCACATTTTCATTGTGTTGAAAACATAAGTTTTCCACTGGAAAAAGTTTTGAGTTTCAATTTTAGTCCAGCCCGATTTTACCAATTGTTTTTTTGGAGTGTGTTGAAAATGTATTACTGAAACTTGTTTTCAAAGCAAATTGGCCTTTTGACAAAATAAAACTTTGGGTGCAAATATTTTAATGTCTTTTGAAAATTTTGGGGCTTTCATTGAAACCCCCCCAAAAATCAGAGGACATTTTTTATATGTTCATTGAAATTTTTGATTTTGTTCAGATTTTTCACAGGAAGGACTCATTTCTTAACCAGCTGCGCTAGTGCCTTTCCTTTTCAAACGACACTTTTTGATCTGTGGTTTGGTTGAGACTCAAATAATTGTAAGGAGACAAGGAAGGCGTTATAATCACAATATTGCCAGCATGGGCAGGAATGGTGTCCCTAGCCTCTGTTTGCCAGAAGCTGGGAATGGGTGACAGGGACTGGATCACTTGATGATTACCTGTTCTGTTCATTCCCTCTGGGGCACTTGGCATTGGCCACTGTCGGCAGATAGGATACTGGGCTAGATGGACCTTTGGTCTGACCCAGGATGGCTGTTCTTATGTTCTGATGGCTACCCTGTGCATTCCAGAATCATGAGTCAGGCCTAGAAAATGATGAGATTGGCATATAAATCAGGATGGTTTTTAAAAAATAAAAGATGCCTCTTTTTCTCTGTCTTCTGGTTTCTGGGCCTTTACGTGCATTCGCTTCACAGTTTCAAGCTTTTCTGCACAAGCCTGTGGGTTAGAACCTTTCTGTTTTTTTTTTCCAAAGGACTGATGAGATTCTTAGCTAATAACATGTCTCCAGGAGTTGGGGATTGAAATAAAACACCAAATTTCACAAGACTCAACATGAAACTGCAAAATCCGTATGGCTCTCAAGCGTCCACGGCCTACTGAAATCCCCGGAACGACGTCTGTTGATCTTCATGTGCTTTGGATCAGGTCTTTACGGCAAAATCTCATTTGCCCCAGCGTCTTCAGTGTAGACGCTGCAGTGAAAGGAGTCGGGACACAAACGAATCCGCTGTGGGCGTGGAGTGGGAAACAGGTTCCCCTGATCAAAACTGTTTGTCTCAATGGGCTTGTCTCTGAGCTGTCTGTGGAGAGATCTGTTAGGGTCCCAGAGATCACGCCGCTATAACAAAGCCCGGGTCGCATGGCAAGGTCCCTAGGATCTGCGGTACAGTGTTGAACAGGCCACTTCTTCAGCAGCTTCTGTTTGGCATGGCCTAAGCCTAAACAGCTTCCAAAAATGTGCTTTTATCAACACTGGCCTGGCCGTTATGTATATTCTGTCCCCATACTGTGGTACACACCATGTAACGTGTTTCGGCCTGAGAAACCCAGGAAGGCTGACACCTCCAAGGGTGGCTGAGATGTGTGTTGCAAACCCAGGACACACTGAGCTGCACTGTTCCCCCCCCCCCCCCCCCCGTCTCCTTTGTAATGCTGCATCTGCATTCTACGGTAGTTTCTGTGTTTAGACTGAGAGCCAAGCAATCTTGTTCCTTCGGTTATAATCGGGGAAGTGAGTCTGCAGGAATGATTTTGTAACAACTCCCCCACCCCTCGTGTCGTCAGCTGGGGCTGCACCAAAGCAGTGTGAAAGAGGATAGTCCGCTCGCTAAAGGAGTAACTCCGCAAACTGACAGCGGTCGTAGGCTGTTATCCTCTGTCTGGGTTAACATCAGGGATGCGTTGCAGTCTCAGAGGTTTAGATATTTATGGCCCACAGATGCTCACATCAGGTGTTCTCATTTTACCAAGCCAAAGGGAATTGCGCTGAGTTTGTCCATGATTTCAATGGAATTGCACCTCTTTATGCTGAGGATGGGTTTGCACTGTTTCTTGTTATCTGAACATGTACCTCTCTAGTTCCCCTCTATGCCTGACCCAAGGACAGGGTGACCAGACGTCCCAATATTACCAGGACTGTCCTGATTAGGGGCTTTGTCTTATATGCAACTATGTCCCTCCATTCCCCCCCAAAAGTGCCCTGATTTTTCACACTTGCTATTTGTGACTCTATCCAAGGATGAGTTTCAGAGTAGACCTGGGTCTGTTAGACCCACTAGCTGCAAAGCCCGTCTTTTGAGCTCAAGCTGAATTTAACTCTGGAGAGCGCCGGTCAAATAGCAGCACATGGCCACTGGTGTAACCGCTGTAATCATGGTCCACTGTAGAGATTGAACTGGGGGGACTTCATTCTGGAGCTGAAAGCTTTGGTCTCTCGAGCTCGCACTAAAGAGCTCTGACAGATGCTGCTCCTCTGTGGATCAGGCCCAGAGCGGAAGGTGCAACACACGTAGCCCAGCACTGCAGGCTCATCCTGCGATCTGAAAATCAGGGTGTGATCCATCTCTTTCTCCATTATTAGAGCGATGATGTTTTGCATGAAGCATGTAACTGCCAAGGCAGAATAGAGTCCAGCTTACTCTCCCGTAGCTGTCTTAGGGCTGCAGTGCTTGAGGAAGAGTCTCTTTAGCATCTCCAAATTCCCAGGAACGTATTTTGTAAGCAGACGTCATGGGCCAGATTTGTCCATGTGGGTACTTCTGTGAAACTGGCTAAAAAGCGCCCTGTGCATGGGATCATGTCGCCCTCTAGTGGCTCACCCCAGTCACGCTAGCAGCCTGCTCTTTTCTTGTCCCTGGAGAAGGTCTCCTTTACTCCAAGTGGTAGAGGCCTATTTTTCTATGCTGAGAGTCGCAGGATCGATTCCTGATGATGAGTGTGGTGTCAACAAACAGATAGTGTGTTACCTGGGCATCCGTTGTGCATGTGGATCTAGTGCTTGCATGCAGAGCTAGATGCTTGCTTGTACAAGTGTCTTTCTGATTTACAAGTGACAGTGAGGACTTTGCACCCTCCATCGGTGCATGTTGTTTTCATGGGTAGCTTTGACGAGCCCAGTCTAGCATCCATGGAATTCTTTACATTGACTTCAGTGGGCTTCAGATCTGGGCCTGCATGAACAGCGTGGTTTTGATGAAAAGAGAGGGCCCCAGTTTGCACCTCAAAAGGTAGTTTTACAGCCCTCACCACTGTACTACTGTGGTTTTCAACCTGTGGTCTGTGGGCCCCTGGGGGTCCATAGACTGTGTCTTAAGATTTCCACACCTCCATTTGAAATGTTTTAGGGGTCTGCAAACGAAAAAAGGTTGAGAACCACTGGGCTAGCCTCTGAGAGCCTCATAATCATTAGAGGGTTTTATCCTCACAACACCCTGTGAGGTGGGGAAGTATTATCCTCATTTGATAGAAGAGGCACAGAGTAGATTAAGTAACTTGTCCAAGGTGCTAGAGAATACGTGTAGCAGAGGCAGGATTCCTGAATCCCAAGCCAGGGGCCTCGCCACTTGGTCAGCCTGCCTTTAATAAGACCTGCCTTTCCTAAGGAAAGTCGTAACACAACCTCTCTCCCCCCACACCACCCTGTTTTTCTGCTCTCTGCAGATAGCCAAGTACTGCTTGAGTATTTAGGACCAAGAGTGGAGAGTTTTAAAAATGTTTTATTTAACTCAACCTGTCCACCCTCTTTTCTTGTCTTGTTTACTGTCATGCCTGCAGAGTTCTTTGACGACTACTCTGAGGGGCGAGAATGCGTCAACTGCGGAGCCATGTCCACCCCACTCTGGAGGAGAGACGGCACGGGACACTACCTGTGCAACGCATGTGGGCTCTACCACAAGATGAACGGCATCAACCGACCGCTGATCAAACCCCAGAGGCGGCTGGTAAGGAAAGGCGTGTGCCGTTCGCCTGCAGCCTGCGCACAACTACACAATAGACTCCAGAACAGGAAACACTCACTCAATCCAAGCTGCCCAGAGGACCTGGGCACTCTGCAATGACGAGGCTTAGAATCCTAGGCAAAAGTTGGGAGATCATCTGGTGTCTCCCAGCAGCCTCGTGGGCCTCTCTCTGTGCCTCCAAAATAGCATCCTGGCTTCAGCTGAGTTGTCTGTGCCTGCAAAACTCTGTGATCTGTTGTACTGGCTGCATCGGCTCCTCAATGGAGGTCCCATGGCAAATGGTGCAAAGGACTGTGGGACACATGGGAGACCCGAAGTGCCTGCCTGCTGCTCACAGCTGAGCAGAAGGCCAGCCCTTGGGTTTACAGGGTTCTACACAAAATAACATCTACAGAGCTCTGCCCTTGACCCCCAGCTCCCTTTCCACCTCCAGCCTGGTCCCCTCCACCTCTCTCTACATTTCTGTTCACATTTATGTACATGTGATGCCCACCCCTTGGCTACTTCCTGCCTGCCTGTGACCTCCCTCAGCCTCTGGTGACCCCACCATCTCCATAGCCTCTGGTGGCTTCCTGTCTGAGCAAGCCAGGAGGTAGAACTGAAATGCTGGGGCTACATGCTGTACCATACATACATACATACATACAGCATACAAGCCTGTCTGTCGCTCTCCAGCATCTTCAGAGAGGCAGAAGGCAAAAATCATGCTACTGCCTGGATTTCTTTGGCTTTGCCTTCTGCGGATGACGCTCAGCTGGCCATAATCCGCTGGCTCTGGTGCCCTCTGCTGGCTAAAGTGCTTCATAGTGACGTGCTTCTGGTTTGTCCTCCCAAAGTCACTTGAGCTGTTCCGTGCTTTGCTAGGCCCTAGGCTGGCTTGAAAGAGCGCTAGGGTTTGTAAGGAACCGGTGCACTTTGAGCCTGGCAGAGGTGCTCGCTCAGCAGGCCTTTGGGGCACGTAACATCAGGAGCTGCTAGTTCCCCTCGGAAACTGACTCTTCTCCAGAGTCAACACAGCCTGAATTTGTTGCTGTTCTGGGCACACTTCAAAGCTCCCCAGTGTTTGGGGAGGGCTGAGATGGCTGGGATGGGGTTTCTTCCACGAATTTGTGTGTGGAAGGAGATTTTGAATTGCTTTGTAATAGGGTTTGGCCCCAAATCCCCATTTGCTGCTTCAATTCTGCCATATATTTTTAAGAGAAGGCGAGGGAAGCTTAGCGCCTGGGGCAGGTGCCCAGTGTGTATGCCTAGGTAACCCATTGATGAGAGTTGTGGGTTCCTCGCTGGGCCCAGTCCACAGTGGCTATGTGTCTGGTACAGCCCATGGTTGCAGAGAGTGATGCTTTAGCTCAGGATGTCCTGGTTTCAATCCCTGGTCTTGGTGAAGATGGCGTACATATTCAGATAGATACGTTCACTACAAAAAGATGCGTGTTAAAAATCAACTGACTCTGTAAAGCCATTCCCTCGTCTCAGTGTGTGCCAGGTCAGACATTGCCACGTGATAACTGCTGATCTTTCCACAGTGCCTGCAGTGCTTGTGTTTTGAACCAGTGTAGAAACATCTCCCCATGTGTTTCCAGGATCTTCTCCCTAGCGTGCAGACACACACAGTGTTTACCTGCATTGCATGGTCTCTCCAAGGCTCTCACTCCACTGATGGATGTTAATGAACGAAGCCATGGTTTCCCAAAGGGTGTGGGGTCACATCCCAAAGGACTAGCGGGGCTGAGGTGCTCAGGAGATGTCTACAGTAAGGTGGGTGGGCCACTAGTGAGGTTGTAGGGAGAGAGGACTGATTTCTGAAGAGGAGCTCAGTGTTCCAAACCTTGGGAAAGACTGAATTAAACATCATCCCACCCTTGTGGGGTAGGTGTTCTTATCCCCATTTCACAGCTGGTGAAAACAAGCTAGAGAGAGAGGACATGATGACACCGCAAATCACTGGGAGATGTGGGACTGGAATCCAGATTCCTGACTCCTAACACTGTGCTGTCACCACTAGACTCGGGGGCACGGATCAGCGGTCACGTCACACTCCCCGTCAGTACATGGCCCGAGGCCGGGAAGCAAATGATCCAAGCCCTGGACCAAATTCAGTGATGAATCCTGGTCATGTGCCAACTGAGGCACGTTGTGCATACGCTAAGAAGATGGCTAGACCACATGCATGTACACGAGCTAACTAAGCTGCTTTGCTCTACAAAATTGGGTGGAAACTTCAGGCCAGTGGGCTTTCTTGTGTTTCAGTATTTCTCCCTTCAAGTACGACAAGAACGGTCTTTCTCATGTGGTTTCAGCACATCAGTTTCCAGTCTCCCCATGCTTCCCGTTAATCAGGAAGTGCAAAGGGCTGCACTAAAATCTGAAACAAACAAACCAATGCACACAGATTTTTCCCCCCATCCTCTAAAAAGCTGTGGGACAGGCTGGCTTTTATTGTACCTGTGCTGATCCCTTCGTTTCTAGATTGACTTGCTGGAGCAGCAGCAGTAGTTTGGATCTGGGTTTTGAACACCCTGCCGTCGGGGTGAGTTTGGATCCCAGTTTTGCTTCCGCCTATTAGGTCCCTGATCCAGGTTTCAGTTTAGAACGCCCACAAAGTCTGGGTGTGTTCGGCTACATAATTTTGTTCCAGGCCTACATATAGCAAAGGAAGCTCAGCGAGTGAAGCGCACAGCAGTTGTACTAGGTCAGTGCCAGGTTCCCCGACCTTCGTGCCACAATGCCAGTAAGTGCAAACAGGGAGGTAAACAAAGGGCGGCCATGTTGCCATCTGCAGAAAAGGCAAGACAAGGAAATGGCAGCCATATGGGCAAACCTGACAGGAACAGAAGATACCGTTTTGTGGGTTACAGACTCTGGGCAGTTAAAAATGAAGCAAGAGGGAGAAGCAGGGGCTGGTTTCATAGCATTTTACATGCTGACCATTTTGACTGACGCACTAGGGATTGAACTGGGGACTTCCAGAGTTAAATACACAAGTAGCAACACCTGGAGCTAAAGCTTCATAAGCAGGCCTCTAACAGCCACCTACCCTCTCTGGATCAGGCCCAGCAGGGGACCAGTTGCACATACTGACAGTTGCTTACATGTTTTCATCACAATTTCCAGAATGAGTCTTTCCTGAATTTTAAATATTGGTTGTTTTTTTTTTTTTTTTTTTTTGAAGGAAAATATGATTGAAAACCTCACATGTGGAAGCCTCTGCTTTGATCATTTATTTGATGTCAAAAGAGGGTCAGGAGCTGTACAGGTTAGAAGGCAAGAGCCCAGCCCAGGAGAGCTTACATTATACACCACTGACATCAAGGGGTCTTTGCCATTGACTTTAGTGGCAGCAGGATCGTGATTTCCTCGCAGAAGAAATCCAGTCCAGGCAGCCCAGCAGGAGCCTCCGTCTTGTGTTTTGCCAGAGACTCTAAGTGGCAGACTGCTTCAGCACTGGTTTTTTTTTTTTCCCCGATTAAAAACAAAATCAAAGTCCATCCATTTGGCTCTCCTGAGCAACCCTACAATAATAAAGCAATGTGACCAGGTGGTGGATAGGCAGCAGGTTGGGGGGGAAGGAGAGTTACAGTTCCAGACAGAGTTATTATAAGGAACACAGTAATGATGGCAGGACATCTCAACAATGTCCCTTTAAACACACGCATCTAGGGATGGCCCCCCAAGCCAAACATCCAGGTCTAAACACCCTCTAATATGGGGGGTGGTTGCGTTAGGATCCAGATCTTTATTTCCCAGCTGGCCCCTCTTGCTGTGATGGAACAAACCAAACGCCTGGATCAAAAACGCCACCAAATTTCATAGCACTCAAAACCTGGCTCCAGATTTCATACCTTGGGCCCAGTTCCAGACTCGGCCTTTGTCAGGCGGAGTCTCACTTGAAGTTGGAAACAAATTAGATTTTCCTGCTTCGGCTTTGACCGTTGTCAAATCTCCCTTCACTTACAGAGAAGGCGCGAGTGTTGGGAGGAGGAGCCAGGAGCCCGTGGGTCTCTGCCCACTTGTGCCACTGACCCCGTTGGCTGGCTTGGCCCATCGTTGTCTGGCCAGAGCAGGAGGCAGTGCTTAATGTGCTGCCTCAGGACCATGGTGGGGACCTAACGGTGACCGAGAGTCACGGTTCTGGAGGCAGGCAGAAGGCGGGGGGCAAGCAGGGGCAACCCCTCCTCCCCCCCAAAAATCAGCAGGGGCACAGAACTCCTCTGGCTCCAGCGCTGGGGCAGGGAGAGCGAGCTCCTCCGGCTGCAGGGGACACAAAATGTGCCCCGCCTCCCCCCAAAGCCATCAAATTTTTATTCCTGCGTATGCCCCTGCACGGCTCACTCCAGGGGAGAAGTAAGCCATGCCAGCCCAGTACCTAGTGTATCTTGCTTCCCGCTCTGTGCCATCTCAGCTGGCTGGCATGTTGAGTGGAGCAAAGGCCCCACCCATTTTCCACTCCTGCCTGCCCACGCCCTGCCCACCTGCATGGGAGGTGAATTAGCAGCAGCTCCCTCCCGCCCTGCCCCGCTCATGCAGGGTCTGGTGATGTAGGTCTCCTACGCAGGGAAGTACTATATTCTGTCACGTCCCCTTTCTCACCCACAGGGCTGCACAACTGGGCTAATGGTTAAGCCTGGCGTGACTTTGGGCAGGTCACTTTACCCCGCTGTGCCTTGGTTTATAAATCTGTAAAATGGGTAAAAACCCACTGACCGTACTGCCAGGGGTGTTGTGACGCTGAATCCGTGTAATGTCTGTAACGTGCACTGAGATTCTTCGGTGCTAGTTACTGTCCATTGTACAAAATATTATTAGTACATCCGCAAACCCCTGCAACAGTTGCCATGCATCAGGGAAAGCTGGGTGGGGTCTGCTCCAACCTAGAAACCGCTTGTGCAAATGGTAACGCTAGCGACTTGTTGACATTGCTGTTGCTTTTGTCTCTTGTTGCAGTCCGCCTCCCGCCGCGTTGGGCTCTCTTGTGCCAACTGTCACACGACCACGACCACGCTGTGGCGCAGAAACGCTGAAGGCGAGCCAGTCTGTAACGCCTGCGGATTGTACATGAAGCTCCACGGGGTAATGACAATGAGACGCTGAGAACAAATAACCCGGGCCAGACGTGTAGTCAGGTTGCTTAATGCACGGCTGGAGGGCACTCAGCTAGCAGGGTGGGAGGGTGGTATGAGAACCTGTGTAAAATAGAATAGACTTGTGTGCCCGCTCTTTAGACTGCAGATGGACTGTTTACTCTCACAGGATGTGAGACAGGGTTAGTTCAAGTGGTGCCAGGTGGGAATCTGCTTTATCTTACACGGTCTTACTTTTTTCTTTTGGCTGATCTCCCCTCTACAACCCCAGTCTTTGGCCCCCCCAAAACATGAATCACACTCGCACTCACTGAAAATGATTTAGCAGGGTGATTTAGCACAGTGTAACTTACCCTGCCATTTACGCCCTCCAGATAAAGGCATAACACGATCCAACGGCTGGAAGGTGAAGCTGACAAATGCAGACTAAAAATGAAGGGCCAGTTTTTAACAGTGAGGGGAATCAGCCATTGGAACAACTTACCAAGGGTGGGGGTGGATTCGCCATCAATGTCAATCTTTAAAACCAAATTGGATGTTTTTCTCCAAAATACATACTCTTGTTCAAACAGGAATTAATTCGGGGAAGTCCTGTGGCCTGGGCTATGTGGGAGGTCAGCCTAGATGATCACAATGGTTCTCTCGAGCCTCAGAATCCGTGACTCTAAGAAAGCAGTATAATGTAATAACCCTTCTCTCGATCGTAGTCTTGTCATGGTGACAGGAATTGGCTATGTTTGAGAGGGTCCCACAACTGCTGGGACCAGCCTGATGGCTAATAAGCCTGAAAGAGTCTGTTTGAATGAGATCTGGGCAAGTCACACAGGCCCCATGGCCGATCTGAAGTTTAAGGTGTTACAAGCCAGTTCCACACTTGTGCTCCCCACTGAAGTCAGAAACAAACTCCCTTCACAAACTCACTACAGTGGTGTGGGATGAGGCTCTGTATTCCGAACGCCAGATGTGGACACAGATGTGTACAATGCCCAGGCAGTCCTAGTCGTGAACCACTGTGTATCCACCTCTCGCTCCCTGCTCCAGGTGAAGGCAAATTAGGGAAGATTGTCCCTGCTCTCTGTGGCCTAGATGGTCAGAGTGACCCCGTCTGACCTTAAAATCTGTGAATCTTCTCTGTGTCCAATGAGACACAGTGAAAACAAACAGCAAACCCTCACCGGCTGAACTGCAAACCCTAACAGCTCTTCCCATTGCTGATCACAGGGGTGGGGGTTTGTTGGTTTTAGACACAAATTCATTTATGCCGTTAATGATCTCCGTTCCCTGAGAGTGTATGCTGTAGTGTTCATTTACAGATGGGCCTAGGCCAAAGAGCAATGGCTGGGCTCTACTTAAAATTAGGGCTGTGAAAAGTTTTGTGCTCTGAGTGTCGTGGCTGGGTCAGCCTAACCCCGGTGTAGACACAACCAGGTCGATGGAAGAATTCTTCCATTGTCCTCGCTAAAGCCTCACGGAGAGGTGGATTAACTACACAGATGGAAACCCCCCTTCCGTCAATATAGGAGTCACCTTGTTACCCCCCTGCCTCCAGTGAGAGAGAGAGAGTTGTTTGTGCTTAGCGGGGTGTCAGAGGACACAGCCAGCCTGGTAGCTATGCAAACAACTTCCTCTGAGCTCTGCCAGCCCTTACTTTGCCTTGCAGGTTAACAATAGGTGCAGGCCAGTCCCCGAGCCCCTTTGAAGCATCCCCTGTTGTAGCCAGTCCCTTCTCCATTGAATGCCACAGAAATACCCAGTCTGCTGTGCCCAAGGAAACAGTGCACACACTAGCTTGTATGAGTCAACTCAGGATCAGCACCTAGCTTTGTGTGACAGCACTTAGATATCTTTAGAGTGAAATCAAGGATAAGTTTATTACCAAAGATTCAAGAGCTAGTGAGTGAGGAGAATGAAAACAAAAGGGTTCCGTATAAAACAAAATCACAACACGCTTTATAGAGACTAAGCTTAACTGGCTACCTCCTCTCTAAAGGAGTTTTATTTCTCCCAAAATCTGTTGCAGCATCTTCCAGCAAGGTGGGCAAAGATCCCGTTTTCATGAATGTAAAGACACTGTCCATTTACTTCCAAGGTGCAGGATGAAGGGGTGTCTTTTTGCCTTCTACTTATATCCCCAGAGTTCATTGTCTGTGCTCTGAGTCAGGATAAACCCTGTGGTTTATTCTCCTGTGTGCTGCTGTCCTCTTGACTGCACATCCCCATGTGCAGCGGTTGTGTTAGCTTACAATGCTTAATTTACATGCTGTGGCAGGGACAGGTGCATAAACATCTTGTGTCTAACAGAAAACCTGTTTGTCCAATCGGCCTTGACACAGACTTTAAAACCCATTTTCAGTATACACACCTGATTCCTTACAGCATATCTGATCATGCCTTTCACAACGATATTAGTGACCAGTAAAAAGAACGAGGAGTCCTTGTGGCACCTTAGAGCCTAACAAATTTATTTGGGCATAAGCTTTCGTGGGTTAAACTGTCAGATGCATCTGATGAAGTGGGTTTAACCCACGAAAGCTTATGCCCAAATAAATTTGTTAGTCTCTAAAGTGCCACAAGTACTCGTTCTTTTTGCTGATACAGACTAACACGGCTACCCCTCTGAAATTAATGACCAGTGTGACCCTGGTTTTCATTTAAGACCTCACCTGATAGTCTTTGGACAGAATGGATAGACCAGAATCAGAATTTTCTTGTAGCCCCCTTGCCTGTTGGAATTGAGGGGTTTTGGGGTCACAGATGTAACCAGCACCTGTGGCTGGAAGTCAAAGCCAGACAAATTCAAGTTAGAAATAAGGCATAATTTTTAACAGTGCGGGTGGTTAACCAATGGAACAAACTAGCAAGGGAAGTGGTAGAGTCTCCATCTCTTGAAGTCTTCAGAGGAAGCGTGGATACCTTTCCAGAAGGTATGTGCTAGGCTTGGTCTGCACTTAAAGCTTACACTGGCATAGCTATGTTGGTCAGCGTGTGAACTCACCCCCTTTCTTCCCCCCACTGTAGATGCAGGGATGCTGTCAGAAGAATACTTCTGTCAGCCAAGATAACTTTGTTCAGGGACGTGGTGTTCCTACCCTGGGAGAAAAACTTCTGTCAGCATATGCTGCATCTGAGCTATGTCAACATAGGCTCTGGAGTGTAGACATAGATTTAGTCATGATAAAATTCTCTGGCCTGAGTTATACAGGAGGTCTGAGTAGAGGATCTGATAATCCCTTCTGGCTTTATAGTTGGTGATTCAAAGCCTTGGATGCAAACACGCTATTATTTCCAAAAAATTCAGATCCAGATCTGGAGCCAAACTTTGCAGCCAGGGCTTGTCTCTACTCTCAGTTCAATCACTGCTGGTCAGTAACTTTTGGCTTCATGTCTTTTTAGTTAAATCTACTGATTACCTGAAATCCTAGGAGGCAGAGATGTAATCCCAGTACGTTAGGTTGTATTGCGTACATACTGAAAACAGTATGCTTTGCATTTGGGTTCCTAGGTCCCAAGGCCTTTAGCAATGAGAAAAGAGGGGATTCAAACGAGGAAACGTAAGCCGAAGAACCTTAACAAATCCAAGACACCAGCAGGTAAGCGTTAAACAAGATGTGTGTGTATGTCTGTGTGTGCGCGCGCGTAGGAGGAGCATAGTATCAGAAACTCACCCTTTAGAACTAAATTAAGAATTCTGCCCTCTGAACCAGACATTCCCAGATTTAGCAAACAGGTAGCTGATCACTGTTGGATTGCTGTTTGGTGACCTATGTGAAATGAGTGCGCTTGGTCTGGTTCCCAGTGGACAGGCATCCCCATCATCACTGGTACTAATTAGCACCTGTAATGTCCTGGTGACACCCCTTCCAGGTTCCCAACCAGGGCTATGGAACAACCACAGAAGCCACTTTCCACAGAGAATCATTCGGAGGTTTTACACCAAGCCCTGTTTATGCTGACACAGGACTTTGGGAGATTTTCCATCCTGCCCTGCCAGGGATAAAGAGTACATGGAATGAGAGGCAGGAACACTGTAAGTGGGGGGACAAGGGTAATTTACCAAACGAGCAAATCTCCCAACATCCTTTTCTTCTTCTCTCCAAACCTGGTTAAGATTTTTGAAGGTCTCTCAATGGCAGCAAAACCCAGCCTACGAACAGAGTTCTTTTTCCCCAAACCACAAATGCTTTGCTATGTTTTTTGTACGTAAAGCTCCTCTGATGGGAAGCCTGGTTTAACTGCTGTTTTCTCCTAGGACCGTCCAGTAGTGAGAGTCTTACCCCCACCACCAGCTCCGCCAGTAACACCAACACCACCACCACCACCGAGGAAATGCGCCCCATAAAGACGGAACCGGGGCTTTCATCTCATTATGGGCACCCGAGCCCTATTTCTCAGGTAATGAAGCAGGAAAGGTCAAGAGATATGACAAAGGTGTGAACTTTAATATAGGTAACTTGAGGAGAAAAGACACCCTCAGAACCTTCTCTGAAGGCAAACGACAGCCATTTGCTCAACCCAAGGATCTGAAAGGTCACAGGGGGCGAAACTTGCAACACTAAGGGCATTTTTACGTTGGGAAATATACCAAAGCGGTGTAAGCTAAATCATAAACGGGACTGTAATTCTGGACTAGGAGTCCCCACACAGAGGCTTATGCTAATTATTCTGGACTAGTTATTTGCATAAATATCCAAGTGTAGATAAGCCCTTAGCTGTGCTGTTTGGTTTTGACCTGAAACCAGGCAAAATTTGGCAGTTTTGGCTTAGTTTCTTTATGAATTTGTGGGCTTGCTTAAACCTGAAGCTCAGTGCAGTGAGCACAAGTCCATGTAAAACAAAACTGAAAAAGCTGAGCTGAACCACCTGAGAATTAAAATCACCAGAATCACACAGCTCTACGCTATATGCCAGACTTGTAACAATAAGTTTATTTGCAGTATATTATTCAGCCACTAGATGTCTCTATGTGCCTTATACAGTTCCAGGCAGGCTGACGCCCCGGTGAACAAGACGGACAAATCTGGAACCTGATCTGTGTGGAAGCCTGTTTATTTGTAGCTGTTGTTTCTTGGTTAAGAAGATATTTGATTCCCTATATCATAACGAGACTAATATTCGAGACTGAGTTAGCTTAGCCACTGTTAAACTCATCCAAAGAACGCCAATGTTTAAATAAAAGGCTCAGTGTAATATTTGAGCATTCTGACCATAAAACCAATATTAAATAATAAATCAAATAATATTAAATCATCATAATAAAAATTCATATGCTTACGGGCTTTGCTGGATTGATCCAATGCTTGCAGTATCGAGCCCAGAGTAATGTAGCGCTGATTACACTCTGCATGAGCAAGCTATTAATCAAAGGGTAATTGGTGGTCAAATCTTATACCTCAGGGTATAAAATGGTCACCTGTAGAGTTCAGAAAAGAACTCAGTGCACTCTCTGCAGTGTTATAAATGGCGTGGGTTCAGAGGAAAAGGGAAACTGTCTTTCTCTGAAGCATCACAAATCAGGCATTGAAGCAGGATACCAGATACAGTGAACCGATGGTTTAATTCAACATTGCAAATCTCATGTCTCTGCATGTACATATTAATGTAACATTAGACCTGTGGAAAGTGAAATGCTTTCTCCTTGCTGTAATGTTGTTAGTCTGAAGCAATTAAAAAAAAATCTTTTCACTTTTACATTGTTTGTAGGCATTCTCAGTCACCGCGATGTCTGGGCACGGATCTTCTATTCACCCTGCTATTTCAGCCCTGAAGCTTTCCCCACAGGGCTACCAATCAGCCATCAGCCAACCTCCACAGGCCAGCTCCAAACAGGACTCCTGGAATAGCCTGGTCTTAGCCGAAAGCCATGGAGACATCATAACTGCATAACCTCTTCCTCCTCCCATGAACTTCAGGCTCACCCACGTGAGATACAAAGACGCCACATAATAATCAAGCAAAAGTGTTTGCTTTTCCCCCCTCTCTCCTCGAGGGAAGTATGATGTAATTCTGGAAGAACAATTCCGTACGGTATTATAAAGAGGACTTCCAGGAACAGCTAATACTAAGTAAGCAGAGAAGACCCAGTTTCATCATAACAGTGGTTGATCTGAATCTTTCCCTTTAAACAGACCAGATTGTAACCACTTTCTATGAAACAGCCAGAAACAAAGACAGGACTCAGGTGTTTTTTAAACTTCTGGCTTTGACATCTCGGATAGTGATGGCACGGAGACACTTTCTTCTTCTCACCATCCATTCGTTTCCTGACCAGGTCAGCCCAGGAGAAAATGCCATTGCCTTGTTATCGCCCAAAGGCAGAGAGTTGATGACCTTCCATTCAGCAAAGCTGGCTCCAGGACAATTTGTTACGTAGACTTAATTTGACACAACTTTGGCTGCTTTTGTGGATTTCAATACCATGATTTGGTTTAAGAAGAAAGAAGAACTCAGCTCACATATGTACCAAAACATCCAAAGCTTTGTTTTCATGTTACCAAGGAGTCAGAGAACCGAACCATTGTACTTATTTAACAGGAACGATTTTGTCTTTCCTAATTATGGGATCGTGTTTCCAAAAGGCTGGAGAAGGTCTCGCAGCCAGGCCTAATGCTTCAGTGAAAGTCTTTGCGAGTTGCGGGGGAAGAGACCCAGAGAGTTTATGAAAAACATGATGGAAAATGTTGGATTCTGCCCTTTGAGATAGCAAGGAGCCTGGCTCGAGGATCTCTAGAGCAGGGCAACACTGTGATTACCGCCGTGACATGGTGCTGCAATTGTGTATGATCCTGTGGCCTATCACAATTAATTATTCTACGTTCTTTTTGATGTTTTCCGTTGCCATTGATAAATCTGATTATCTTTTTTCCATGGCAGTATCTGCCTTTTAACCCAAACACAGACCTGTTTCCCTCCCCCACGTCCAACTAAAGCCAATTAGCAATTCAGCTTTCCTAAAGGCATCACTGTGGGCAGAAAGCGGCCTTGTGATCATCCACTGTGTAACTGAATATCATAGGCAGGGAAAAATCTAGTCGCCAGCTAAGCATGAGCACACAGCTGTGATATCCATGGGACAAGCTTAATTACATGTATTTTTTAAATATGAAGAGACTAGTATTATCTCCCCACAAGGCCCAGAAGAGTGGCTGCCCCATGGAGGGCCAGCCCTATTTGTGTAGGCAGAGAACTTCTTGGGGCCCTTTTGATCAACCAAACAGGTTTCCCGATCTCCTTCTCCCCCCCACCCCAATTCTCAGGCACCCATCTCTCCTCTTGTCTGCCCAACCTTTCTCTGTCCTCCTTAGAGTCAAAACTTGACTGTGTAAAGCACTAAAAGAAAATATAGAGAGGGGAGGGATTGTGCCCCTCAGATCCATATACGAAGGTGTCTGCGGTGTGTGAGTCTCTCCTGAACAGATGGGGTGGAGGAGGCCCCTAAGCTGTCGCCATGGAAACATTCCACATTTCCCTCCAACCCTGCAAAGGCCTCTCTGTAGGTCTGAAGTCAACACAGGGGTGAGTGGGTGAGAACGCGATGGTCAGAGATGGGGCTGTGGAGAGACAAAGGGCTGTTTTGTCTCCCCACTGCAACTTCCCTGGGTGGTGGGATGCCCCTTTAAGGGGGTGTTGCCCCGGCAGGCCCAGCTGGGGAGATGTTAATGGAGCTGCGCAGACAGGGGCTGGGAGCGAGGGGTGCAGCGTTGCAATGGAAGCATGGACCCTTCCAGTACTCCTGGGATCTGAATAGATCCTTGGAGATCCAGAGGGTTTCTGGATGGGTTCCGCAGGCGGGAGGTAACTGCACCCCCTGGTGGCCGAACAATGTGGGGCAGGAGATCCTTGTGGTGTTTTACACCATAGGGTATCCTGCAGTAGGGGGGGCATGATCCAGCCAGTAATAAGGAACAATCCTGCATAGGCCCATGGGAATGGATTCCATGACCTGCTAGGTCTTTTCCATCTCTAACTTCTAAGATTCCCAGAATCTCTATCTCCATCACCCCTCAACCTCTTACCTTGCAAGGACCGATATCAAGGCTGGTCTTATTAACATCTTCATTAATGATCTAGAAGAGGCAGTACATGAGGTATTAATAAAATCTGCAGATGATACCAAATGATCTACAGATCATAGTAAGTTGTGAATGCTAGTGAGGAGAGAAAAACAATACAGACGGTACTAGGCCCATTGAAATACATGGGTGTTTTTCTGTTGACTTCAGTGGGCTTTGAATCAGGCCCGTAGCGAGGTTAAAAATGTGGTCAGAAAAGAACAACAGGGCATTCAGGCTGGAAAAATACAAGCTCATACAGCTGGGGGGAAAATAACACAAAAGACAATATGATTTTGAGAAAAGAAAAGGAGTACTTATGGCACCTTAGAGACTAACAAATTTATTTGAGCATAAGCTTTTGTGAGCTACAGCTCACTTCATCGGATGCATTCAGTGGAAAATACAGTGGGGAGATTTATATACATAGAGAACATGAAACAGTGGGTGTTACCATACACACTGTAATGAGAGTGATTACTTAAGGTGAGCTATTACCAGCAGGAGAGCTGGGGGGGATGGGGGAGGGGACCTTTTGTATTGATAATCAAGGTGGGCCATTTCCAGAAGTTGACAAGAACGTCTGAGGAACTGCTGGAAATGGCCCACCTTGATTATCACTACAAAAGGTTTCCCGCCCCCCCCCCCCCCCTTAAGTGATCACTCTCCTTACAGTAAAAAGAAAAGGAGGACTTGTGGCACCTTAGAGACTAACCAATTTATTTGAGCATGAGCTTTCGTGAGCTACAGCTCACTTCATCGGATGCAGTGTGTATGGTAACACCCATTGTTTCATGTTCTCTATGTATATAAATGTCCCCACTGTATTTTCCACTGAATGCATCCAATGAAGTGAGCTGTAGCTCACGAAAGCTTATGCTCAAATAAATTTGTTCGTCTCTAAGGTGCCACAAAGTCCTCCTTTTTGCGAATACAGACTAACACGGCTGCTACTCTGAAACCTGTCAATATAATTTTGAGATGAATGCACAGAGGCAGCAGATTGCTGACAGCATCTCCCTGGGCATGAGTGTGGTTCTTCTGGCTAGGCAGCTCCTTCTTTCACTGGATCCTTCAGCCAGCCTTCTCCCTGAGTAACAGCACCTCTTTAAATCTGGTGAACTCGCTGTCCACCTGTGTCTGAAACTGCCCTATACTTTCCTTTCCCTTAGAGAGATGCACACTCACACACACCTTGAACTTGACCTAAAGTAATGCCAACATCTGGGGACACTTCAAAGTAGGTTGGACAAAACGCTAGTAAATGTAGAAATTCAAGTATCGTACCTTGATGGGGATCCCGCAGGGCTAGATGATCTTCTAGCTGCTTGCCATCTCTGGAATCTAGGACCCAAAGCAAACAGAATGTTCCTTTCTCTCTGTGAGTCCATTCAGTGGTTTGCCCCTGCCCACCCTTCAGGCCTGGGGAGATATGGAGCTAGGGCTCTTCAATGCATAAGGGGGTTTTTGAGGGTCTTTGCACCACGAGACATAGCCACCTCTGAAGCAGGGAGCTTTGGAGGCCTGAGGAAAGCAGTTTTGCTACGTTTAGCAGAAAAATGAATTGTTTCAATATTCTTCATGTAGCCTTATTTCTCTCTCCGTTGTACACAGCAGAAGTACAGATGAGTCAAGAGACCTTCTTGTTCTACTGCTCTTTTAATTCATCCAACACTGCTCTCAGATATTTTAGATCCACAACCCTAGTCTACTTCCTACCCAATAGTGTTGTTATTAATCAAGTTTATTATGGTAGTGCCTAAGGAGCCACTGAGAATGGGGCCTCATTGTGCTAGGTGCTGCATAAACCCAGAGTAGCAGACAGTTCCTGCCCAAAGAGCTTACAATCTAAATAGCTGTTAGACATTAGCTAGAGACTAAGCTAATTATTATTCTTATTTATTATTTGTAGTATTTTAGCTCCTCAGAGCCCCAGTCATGGATAAGGACCTGGTTGTGCTAGGTGCTCGACAAACACAGGATGGGAAATGGACATATTAATTCAAACACAAGGCTTCCAAGCAATTAGTCTGCGAAGGCCAGCGGTGGGCTGAAAGTCAGTTGCAAGACCTAGGAGCATGTACAGATCCTTCTGCAGGTCAGAGACAGTTTAGAAGGGGGTGATGTTGAGAAAGGAGATCATGTTTATTAGGCTGATGAATTCTAGAAATGGGGGAGATCTGAGAAACCTCCTAAGACAGTGGCTCTCAAACTTTTTTACTGATGACCCCTTTCACATAGCAAGCCTCTGAGTGTGACCCCCCCTTATAAGTTAAAAACACTTTTAAATATATTTAACGCTATTTTAAATGCAGGAGGCAAAGCGGGGTTTGGGGTGGAGGCTGACAGCTCGCAACCTCCCCATGTAATAACCTTGCGACCCCCTGAAGGGTCCCGACCCCCAGTTTGAGAACCCCTGGCCTAAGAAGTATTATGAAGCGATGAGGTCTGAACACAACAGCCTTCGGGGGTTTGGTACAGCCCATTGTAAAGCGAGGGTCCATTTATAAATTTGGGGGGTTATATTTTAGCCACTCCCTTCTTTAGTTTGGAGGGGAGGGGCTTGGATCCGGGGGGAGGGGGGATTTGTTTTGGTTTCGGTTCTGGCCCATCTCTAATAAAATAAGATGAGCAGGTTACTGAAAGCTTATAAAGACAAGATTATTTATTATTTGTATTACAGTATGACCAGTGGCCTCAATCAGGGCCCCATTGTGTTAGGCGCTGTGCAAAAACAGAGCATTCTGTCCTGCCCTAAAGAGCTTAAAATTGAAGGCCCTGATCTTGCAAACACATAAGCACGTGCACAAATTCAGTCATGTGAGGAGTCCCATAAAAATCAGTTAGGTTCCTCACATGAGTAAATTTATACATGTATTTAAATATTTGCAGGATCAGGGTCTAAGCTGCAAATACCAGTAAAATCAGACCTCCGTTATGGGCCCTTTGGTAATATAGGGACATGCGGAGAAGGTAGCCATGGTGGATACTGGTGGGTTAGAAAGGTCATTTACCAGTACTGATTGTCTTTCATCTTTGTGAAAGTGCAATATCTTTAATCACTGATACATTTTTTGATCAGAAAAGATCTGTATTTAGATTGCAGTCTTACTGGCTGATTGGAACGTATCTGATCAGGAAGCATTAAGGAAATTTGAAGGGGAATTGTAATGCTGATCAACAATTCTTAATGTAACTCTGAAGCTGTGACTATGTTGTGGGGTTTTTTGTTTTTCTTTTTCCTTTGGTAAAGTTTGGTGCTTTCCAAACTCATCGGGAAGGTCCCATGAAAACAGACACTTATTTGTAAGGGTGGGGGGGGGAATGAACAAGCTGTAATTATTTAAAGATGTAAAAAAATATATATTATGAATTAGTATGGCTACCAATCCACATAACTTCTACACCTTTCGAACTAATGGAAATAAAACAATGGTAATAAAACTTATAATAATAAAGCTTCTTTCTTATGGGAATTTGCATGCTGAGTTCTTGCAATTAATTGATTGGACGTATGTATAAGTGTACAGTTTATGTAGAGTGTCAATGACCCATTAGCCTGAGCCTGGCATGTCTTGTGAAAAATAATAGCATGTGACCATGTAAGACTGCAACTTAATGCGTATGTACAAGGGGGTTGAATTATGGTTCTGACATTTCCTAACTGTTGGGTGCTTGACTTTGCAGCCTTAACGTTCTTTCAAATTTCTCTTCGTATACTATTGATTTAGTTTAGGCTGACCAGGAACTGCTTTAAATTAAACTGAAACAAACCACTTTTAAACCAAAGGACTTAACAAAGCTGCACACGTGTTCGAGCACCTGAGTAGTTTTGGGAACTCAATGGGCTACTCACATGCCCGAAGTGAAGCTTCTGTGTGAGTCATTTTGCAGGATCAGGGCCTTTTATTCTGGTGACACCAGGCCTGTGTAACCCCCAGCTTTTGGCTGGAGGCACAAGCTGCCAGACCTGTATTCTCCCCAGCTGAGCCTCAGGATTGTGATCAGCTGCTGCGGTGGGTGTGGCCAGTGTGTGAAATCCCACCCTTCCTTCGCCACCCAGCCAATTAGGCTGCCTCTCTACATTTAGCTCCTCCCCGCTCCAATGAAAGAGCCACTGATGGGCCGGAGCAGGGGCAGTGGTGAGCAGCTGGCAGGGAGAAGCAGATGGGCTGAGACATAGCTATGGTACTTCAGCTGCTGATCAAGGAGCCCAAACCAGTCTCTGAGGCACAGAGGAGGGCTGGGGGTTGGGAGAAGAAAGAGCAAGGGAACTGATGTATTGTTTGTTTCTTGACTTTAGCAAAGCTTTTGACACGGTCTCCCACAGTATTCTTGTCAGCAAGTTAAGGAAGTATGGGCTGGAAGAATGCACTATAAGGTGGGTAGAAAGCTGGCTAGATTGTCGGGCTCAACGGGTAGTGATCAATGGCTCCATGTCTAGTTGGCAGCTGGTATCAAGTGGAGTGCCCCAAGGGTCGGTCCTGGGGCCGGTTTTGTTCAATATCTTCATAAATGATCTGGAGGATGGTGTGGATTGCACTCTCAGCAAATTTGCGGATGATACTAAACTGGGAGGAGTGGTAGATACGCTGGAGGGGAGGGATAGGATACAGAAGGACCTAGACAAATTGGAGGATTGGGCCAAAAGAAATCTGATGAGGTTCAATAAGGATAAGTGCAGGGTCCTGCACTTAGGACGGAAGAACCCAATGCACAGCTACAGACTAGGGACCGAATGGCTAGGCAGCAGTTCTGCGGAAAAGGACCTAGGGGTGACAGTGGACGAGAAGCTGGATATGAGTCAGCAGTGTGCCCTTGTTGCCAAGAAGGCCAATGGCATTTTGGGATGTATAAGTAGGGGCATAGCGAGCAGATCGAGGGACGTGATCGTTCCCCTCTATTCGACATTGGTGAGGCCTCATCTGGAGTACTGTGTCCAGTTTTGGGCCCCACACTTCAAGAAGGATGTGGATAAATTGGAGAGAGTCCAGCGAAGGGCAACAAAAATGATTAGGGGTCTGGAACACATGAGTTATGAGGAGAGGCTGAGGGAGCTGGGATTGTTTAGCCTGCAGAAGAGAAGAATGAGGGGGGATTTGATAGCTGCTTTCAACTACCTGAAAGGGGGTTCCAAAGAGGATGGTTCTAGACTGTTCTCAATGGTAGCAGATGACAGAACGAGGAGTAATGGTCTCAAGCTGCAGTGGGGGAGGTTTAGATTGGATATTAGGAAAAACTTTTTCACTAAGAGGGTGGTGAAACACTGGAATGCGTTACCTAGGGAGGTGGTAGAATCTCCTTCCTTAGAGGTTTTTAAGGTCAGGCTTGACAAAGCCCTGGCTGGGATGATTTAACTGGGAATTGGTCCTGCTTCGAGCAGGGGGTTGGACTAGATGACCTTCTGGGGTCCCTTCCAACCCTTATATTCTATGATTCTATGATGAGATGAGGAAGCTGGGGGAAGAGGAGGAGGAGCTGGGAGAGGATGAGGCAAGGGGAGAATGGACTGAGGGGACTGGGAGAAGGTGTGGGGAGGAGGAAGACTAAAGAACTGCTGGGGGTGAAGAATAGGGTGGAGTATGAGGATAGGTTGGAAAACAATGGAAGAGCAGGCTGGGATTAGGGTGGGAGGGGGGTGAAAAAGACGAAAGAGGAGGACAGGGGAGAAGAGAAGAGACTTGGACAAGGACTAAAGGACAGGGGCACAATTGGGATATGAAAGGGGAGTTGATGGGCTGGGTGTGGATCAGAAGGGAGGGCCTGGGATGGGAACGGAAGGAGGGAGAGTGAGTCCCGCACTGGGGAAGGAGAAGAGAGATGGAGAAGGGGGAGAGGTGATAGGATATGGGGGTGGGCTGATTTTTGTGTTCCAGATGGGTGATGGATTGAGGGGACTGTGCAGTAGGGTGCCCACTTGGGAGCTGGAAAATTTGCAGATGCTTTTTGCAAGGCCAGCATAGGCTGGGCTGCCACACAATTTCCCTGAAAGGGCCGGATCATCTAATGCACCCAGGAACTGATTTGTAAAGGTATTTAGGTGCCTAGTGGGATTTTCAAAAGCATCTAAGTGCCTAAAACTCATTGATTTCAATGGGGGTTAGGTGGCTAGATGCTTAAAAGAACCCACTGTTTTCATGCAGGACCAAGAGGGACATGCAGACAACATCTGTTTCGCCATCTTTTAAATGAGGCGAAAGGTATTTATTTCCTTTCTAAAGCATCTACTGATGAAACACCCTGTACAAGAGCCAGGTATTACTACATTTATTATCTGGACCGTTAGCTTTTCCCTTGTTTCTCCCCCGTTTTGTGTTGCTCTTCGTGGGAGCACAACGGCTTGAAACCAAAATGAAGGCTAATGCAATTGGCACAGACTCGGCAAAGGAGGGCACCCTCTGCTCTCCGAGAGCTGTCGCTGTATGTCAAACCCAACCTCAGCAACCGATTGAGAGGCACATCTGATCTTCTGCAGTGTGGCGCACTCTCAGCTCTCATTGATGTTGCAAGATTGGGCCCCCAGTGAGGCTCTGAGTGACCGAAGCAGGGGCAGTTCACAGGGTACAGCTCTGCAAACAAGGTTGTGTGTTTGCTTCCTTGCTGTCACTGTTGAGATGAGCTGCATGATCCATCCTTCTCATGCCAATGGGTTTGAAGAGGGAAACACAGACGAGTTTAGGAGGAAGGACTGGACGGCTCCAGGGGTCTGGGCATGGTATATAGGGCACTTCACGTCTAGTTCCCTGGCCTGAATGTATTGCCCGAAAGCCGTGACTGCTGAATGGTTGGTATCTCAGTGCAGTTCCTAAGTGTCCACATCACACACAAAAATACCACCCCAGCCGGCAACCAAATTCCTGGCTCTGAACATGCCTCAACTCTGGAGAGTCAGAGAGTTTAAGGCCAGACTGGACCACCAAATCATCTCGTGTGACCTCCTGTCTGTCACAGGCCACCCAGCCCCTGCCCACTAGAACCAACAACCAAAATGAGACCCAAGCATTTCAGCCCACAGCAGACGAGACTACAATGTGCCACAGGAAGAAAACAGGATGAACCAAGGTGCACCAGTGTCTGAGGACCTTGCAATGGCAGGGAGATGATTAAAATACACTCAGATAATCCTGGTAAGTAACCTGCAACTATTAGCTGCAGAGGAAGGCAAAAAAAAACCCCCAAAACCACATGGTCACTGCAAGTCTGAGCTGGGGGAAAATTCCTAACCCCACATTTTGTGATCAGCTACAGCCTGAGCACGTGAGAAAGAATCAGCCAGCCAAGCCCCTGAGAGCGACTGCTCAGTACTACCTCAGAGCCCTGGCCCTTCCCGCCGAATCTCCAGTTGTGGCCAGTCCTGATGCTTCAGAGGAAGGCAATTTAAAAAAAAAAAATACCCATAACCCAGAATACATTGAGGGGAAGGGGCTAATCCCTTCCTGATCCCTGCAGGTGGCCGGCTGAAACCCTGAAGCATGAGCATTTAGAAACATGAAATATAAACCAGAAGTGACCCCCCCACAAGCCTGATGAGCCCTGCCCCTTACCAGCACAAGCAGCCCTGTCATGCAATCACTCTCATAAATTTGTAGAACCTCACCCCTCTGATGGTTAGAAACTGTCTTTTAATTTCCAACCTGAATTTATTCATGGCCAGTTTATAGCCATTTGTTCTTGTGCCAACATTGTCCTTTAGCTTAAGTAGCTTTTCACCCTCCCTGGTGTTTACCCCCCTAATGTATTTGCAGAGAGCTGTCATATGCCTGCTCAGCCCTCTTTTTGCTAGACTTAACAAGCCAAGCTCTTCCAGTCTCCCCTCACAAGACCGGTTCTCCATTCCCTGATCATTTCAGTAGCCCTTCTCTGCACCTGTTCCAAGTTAAATTCATCTTTCTTAGCTTCTGGTCCAGAGCCAAACTTTATGACTGGCTTCTGTTCTGCAACTGGCTGCACCAAAACCACAAAGTGGAAGACCCCCCAAATCTGGGAGAGAGTCAGCCCAAACCCTGCAATTTGAGGACTAGTTAGAAAAAGAATTAGATAAATTCATGGAGAAGAGGTCCATCAATGGCTGTTAGCCAGGATGGGCAGGGATGGTGTCCCTAGCCTCTGTTTGCCAGAAGGTGGGAATGGGCGACAGGGGATGGATAACTTGAGGATTACCTGTTCTATTCATTCCCTGTGGGGCACCTGGCATTGGCCACTGTGGGACAACAGGATACTGGGCTAAATGGACCTTTGGTCTGACCCAGTATGGCCATTCTTATGTACCTCTAGAGTAGAGGAAAACTATATTAAGTGAGGACGGCTCCTTGGGACACTAACAAACCTTCCATTGTCATACCCTCCCGGAGAAAAAAATTCTATCAACATCTAGATGAGTTGATGTACCCCCTGGAAGACCTCTGCGTACCCCCAGGTGTGCGCATACCCCTGGTTGAGAACCACTACGCTAAGGC